TTGGGAAATAGAAGTCATTAATTAGAAAAAGAAAGACAATTCAGTCTCCGTTTATGTTGTAAACGTCAAATAATCTCCTCCTTGGTTCATTAATTTCGTATTCCACTTTGCCACCGTCTGAGGGTATTTGGGAGAATTGAAAGTGGAGACACAAAAGGTCCAGTGTGCTCGCCCTTTTTGACTCCACTTTACTACTGCAAGCTCACATTTCCTCGTTCTTATTTTCCTAATTTTTATTACTCTAAAATCTAAAAATTTCAATTAAATCTAAAAATATCAATTGCCTGGGAGTATTTGATATTCAAGATTTTATAAAACAATAAAACGTTAATTACTAAATAGAACTACACTTCTACATTAGATGGAATTTAAAAAATTTTATCACCAGTTTAATCAAAATTTCCCCTGATTGCCTAAAAGAAATATTTTTTCACCTGTTTGGGTTTTTTATGCCAGGGAAGGAAACATTAACTCCACACCGACTCCTCCAGTAAAGAGCCTAGAGAGGGACACCCACATGACTCTCTTATTTTTCAACTGTTTCCACTACTCCGAAGAAGAAATAGTAATAGAAATCACAAAATTAAAACAATAAACTATTTTCCATTAATTGATACTCTGTCAATTTTTAATTTTTTATGGGTCTGCCCACCTTCTGTCCATCCTCAATATATAGAGGTCTCAGCTCGTCTTCCAATTCCCAATACCAATTCCCTCTCCTCCCACTCCTCACGTTCCCAATTCCTCCATTTTGCTGGGTTTATCAGAAATTTTAACTGATAAACCATATCAGCATTACCCCATTTTTCTTCTTATTAGAACTGCATTTTCCTGGGTTTGGGGGTGAAGGAAAGGGAATCCCATTTGATAATATACAGGGCAGATCTATTTCTCTCTGTTTTTGTTGATATATTGAACAAAACAGAGTGATTCTTCATTTGGGTATTCTGCTAATACTCTGAAATATATATGGGGAAGTTTGTGAGACTAACTGCATTTGCTCCTCTCCTTCTGCTTCTATGTTTACCCTCTGCTTTAGCGGGTCATGACTATGCCCAGGCTCTGAGTAAGAGCATTCTGTTCTTTGAAGCTCAGAGATCTGGTTACCTCCCACATAACCAGAGAGTCACATGGAGAGCTAATTCTGGGTTGAATGACGGCAAGGCTAGTGGGGTAAGTTAAAGCTCCACTGTCTCTTCTCTGTTCTCTTGGGGTTGTTGAAATTTTACTACTTTTTTGCTAAATTGTGGACTTATGAAAGTAAAATTGTTCATGGAATTCTGCAGGTGGATCTGGTTGGAGGTTACTATGATGCAGGGGACAATGTGAAGTTTGGTTTGCCCATGGCATTCACTGTAACAATGATGGCTTGGAGCATAATAGAGTACGGCAAGCAAATGACGGCCAGCGGCGAACTCGGCCATGCCTTGGCCGCCGTTAAGTGGGGGACTGACTACTTCATCAAAGCTCATCCGGAACCATACGTCCTTTATGGAGAGGTACCCATAACCCATTTTTCACTTCCATTAGAGATTGTCAATTACTTTTTAAATTATTTTACGGGATGTTGAAATGGTGTGGGGTATTCCTTTTTGATTAGGTGGGAGATGGGAACTCTGACCACTATTGCTGGCAAAGACCCGAGGACATGACTACTGATCGACGGGCTTACAGGATTGATACTAACAACCCTGGGTCTGACCTTGCGGGAGAGACCGCCGCCGCCATGGCTGCCGCCTCTATAGTCTTCCGCCACTCCAACCCCGCCTACTCCAGCGAGCTCCTGCATCACGCCTACCAGGTTTAAAACTCTCCCCTTTCCCTTTTCTTTTAACCGTGTATATATATATATATATATAAAAGCGGTTGCCGGAATGACGCCGGTGGCTCGGCGTCGTGTCTCTTCTTTGCTATGGTTCAGGCCCCACTGCCTAAACTGGGCCTAGGCCCAGTGTCCAGTAACGTCAACTGACAGCCTTTTTGCTTGATCAGAGTCTTTTAGGAGAAACGGTTGCGCCTGCACAAGTTAGCAGAACTGCATTTAATAACATTTTCACTTTTTTTTTTTTCTAATATTAATTTTTTATTTTCAAAAATCACATTAAATTTCAACTGTTTGTGTTTTATGGTCGATTTCGGACGGAGGGAAAAATGTTAATTTGAAAGAATAAACGCTGATTAGAAACAAAGCAACGGTGTCGTTTCCTTGTCTTTCTGATTTAGAATTAAATGTCGGAAAACATTTTCGGCGCATAATTTGGATCATGGAGAAGGAAGGAACAACTTTCCCGTCTATGACGGGTGATGTCTCATGAGTCATGACCGTACATATCTCTTCGTACAACAAATCTCGACCATCCATTTCTAACGTTTCCCGGAAAGCGCAATCTTTTCTGTCGGTGCCAGTGACGATCCCCTAAAAAGTCTCATTTCCTGAATTACCCTCGCGTCGTTGTTAATTTTACATCACTTACCATTCATATTTTTTTAAAAATAAATATTTACTTATACATAAATTTTATTTATTTTTTTATTTTTAATAATGAAGATTTATTTATATTCATTAAAAATTATAATAAATTTTAATTATTAAAAATAAATAATAAATAATTAAAATTTTATATAAATTTAATATATTAAATTCGTATATAAGTATATCTATTTTTTTAATAATTATCATTAATAGTTTCATAATGAGAAAATGATGGGGTACACTGCTTAATTTTGTTTTTTTTTTTTTTTTTTTTTTTTTTTTTCAGCTATTTGAGTTTGCCGATAAATACAGAGGCAAATATGATAGCAGCATCACCGTCGCCCAAAAGTACTATCAATCCATCAGTGGATATAATGTAAGCAATATAATCCATTTTTAAATTTAATCAATAAATAGTAGTAACAATAGTTTAATTTAATAATCTAAATAAGAAAAATTTTAATAATAATTGCAATTTGTAGGACGAGCTGTTGTGGGCCGCCGCATGGCTGTACCAAGCTTCTGACAGTCAGTACTACTTGGACTACCTTGCGAAAAATGCCGATTCCATGGGTGGAACCGGCTGGGCCATGACTGAATTTGGTTGGGACGTCAAGTACGCCGGTGTTCAGACCCTCGTTGCGAAGGTATGGGTTCAATTTCGTTGTTTTCTGGAACCCCCATTGATTTTTAATTGTTCAATTTTATTGTTGAGTGGGGATTTGATGGTGTGGTATAATTTTGCTGTTTTTGCAGTTTTTGTTGCAAGGCAAAGCTCGTCATTATGCGCCAGTGTTTGAGAGGTACCAGCAGAAGGCAGAGTTCTTCATGTGTTCCTTGCTTGGAAAGAGCAACAGGAACGTTCAGACGACTCCCGGTGGCTTAATTTTCCGGCAGAGGTGGAACAACATGCAGTTTGTTACCAGCGCCTCCTTCCTTGCTACCGTCTACTCCGATTACCTCAGTTCTGCTGGAAGGAACTTGGGTTGCTCCGCTGGTCGCGTTGCACCATCCCAGCTCCTTGGCTTTGCAAAGTCTCAGGTAAGAACAGGAGATTCTTTGATTCATGAAATTGTTAAATGTTCCGATTATGTTTATCTGATCTGATTGTTATGCAACTGCAAATTTTTAGGTGGATTATATCCTTGGGGACAATCCAAGAGCTACGAGTTACATGGTGGGCTATGGAAGCAACTACCCGCAACGGGTTCATCACAGGGGTTCTTCAATTGTTTCCATCAAGGAGGATTC